GGCCCCGCTGTCGCCATGTGTGTCCCCCTCACTGTCCTACGTGGCCCAGTTGCTACCCTCAGTGGCCCCATAGTTGCCTTCTGTGGCCCCGCATTATCTGCACTTCGTGGCCCCCGCTCGTTCGCGCTCTTCGTGGCCCCATACGCATTCCCTTCGTGTCCCCGCTGTCGCCCTTCGTGGCCTACTTCGTGCCCTTCGTGGCCCTGCTGTCGTTCTCTCTCGCGTCGTCGCGTCGTCGTCGTCGTCGTCGTCGTCGTCGTCGTCGTCGTCGTCGTCGTCGTCGTCGTCGTCGTCGTCGTCGTCGTCGTGGTCGGTCCCCTGTCCGTCCCTCTTGGGGTCGGGTCGACGGTCCGCGGCCGCCCCGCCGATCAGCGCTGCCGCTGGCCAGGCCGACGGTCCGCGGCCGCCCCGCCGCTTGCCGGGGCCCGGCCTGCAGGGAAGAAAGGTATACCCCCCAAAAGGGGTTCGATCGAAGACGAAGAGGGCGGGTCTCGAGGGTTTGGGAAATACGCGTTATGGGACACTCGAGCATATACGGGCGAACAGTCTTAAAATGATTGTTGTTGTTGTTGTTGTTGTTGTTGTTGTTGTTGTTGTTGTTGTTGTTGTTGTTGTTGTTGTTGTGGTTGTTGTTGTTGTTGTTGTTGTTGTTGTTGTTGTTGTTGTGTTGTTGTGTTTGTTGTTGCTGCTGCTGCTGCTGTGGTTGTGGTGTGTGGTTGTGGTTGTGGTTGATGTTGTTGTTGTTGTTGTTGTTGTTGTTGTTGTTGTTGTTGTTGTTGTTTGTTGTTGTTGTTGTTGTTGTTGTTGTTATTGTTGTTGTTGTTGTTGTTGTTGTTGTTGAACATTATTCCTTCTAAAGAATTATTATTGTTGGGACCCCTGGTGCGCGACCTCTGCGCCGCGCCTAGGCCGCAGCTACATTTTCATCATTTTTTCGCGAAAGCTTCAGAAAAGTGGATGAGCTCCGGATCCGGTTTTTTGTTGACGCTCGTTTTCCCTTGCAAAAAACAATAGAAAATGAAAATTCTTGTTCTTACTTGATCAAATTGCAAGAATCCCTTGCAAAAAATAAGGTAAAGTGGACATTCGTGCGCGCAAGACGAAATCCTTCCAAAACCTTAGGTTTCGTAGCGATTTTAACATAAAAACATCAAAAACCCAATGGTTTTTTAAGAAAAAATTGTCAAAATGTCCTTCCGCGCGCGCTGTCCGAATCCCACAAAACCAATGGTTTTTCAACATTTATGTTACATGAGCTCGCGCGAGCTACTTTTTCTTGTTCTAACATAATCAAATTTCAATAATCCCTTGCAAAAAATAAGGTAAAGTGGACATTCGCGCGCGCAAGACGAAATCCTTCCAGAACCTTAGGTTTCGTAACGATTTCAACATAAAAACATCAAAAACCCAATGGTTTTTCAAAAAAAAAAGTCCAAATTTCATCCCGCGCGCGCTGTCCGACTCCCACAAAACCAATGGTTTTTCAACATTTATGTTACATGAGCTCGCGCGAGCTACTTTTTCTTGTTCTAACATATCAAATTTCAATACTCCCTTGCAAAAAAAAGTAAAGTGGACATTCGCGCGCGCAAGACCAACAAAAAACACGACGATCTCAGGAACTTGCCCCAAAAATGTGACCAACTCCGCTCTCTCTGTCTCTCTCTCTGTCTGCTCTCTGTCTCTCTCTCTGTCTGTCTGTGTCATGTATTGTATGTCACAATTGCAGGATGCTGGGCACACGCGCGCCCCGAATAAGTGACCAAGTTCTGTGGGTGTGTACCCCACGCCAGTGTAGTAGCCACGGTCGTCCGCACGCCACGAAGTGAAGTGTCCCAACGTCATAGGGCGGGAAGCTGGGTTTGGGTGGTCGCGAAGAGTCGTTTGGATATTTGGTAGAGCTTGTAATGCCC